TTCACTGTTTCTCTGATAGTTACAGAAAGATTGATTCTGACTACAGCAGATAACACTGAAATAATAGAAATGCAGAATGACTGATTTCTAATTCTATTCAGTGAGGAAAGAAAAGAGTTTTATATGTCCTTTTAAACAACATGAACAGACAGAAAAGTAGAATCAAAAGAAAGTGCTATCTCATAAAGTGATTTTTAAAATACATATTTTACCATACTTCTGTTTGTTGATTTAATGAAACCGGAATCTTGTAGCACTTGTTGATTATATTATCACAGAAAGAATGTTCTTCCTTGATCTTCACTACTGTTCTAACAGATCCCTTACTGATCGGGTTTTCTGTGCATAGTAATGACTTATCGGAGACAGCAATAAAGATCAAAACAAAGCAAAACTACATCTGTCTTGTTTCTTTTATAAAGTAAGACAGTACTTAACATATTCACTTCTTGCTATTCACAAATCAAAACAACATGAATCCAGGGGAATTTCAATGTGAACATATGTACAAATAACCTGACAAATTGAACATTCACTTTAATATCTGTGAACAAAATTTCAAAATTTAAAACTGATGTGAATATACTGTATGTTAAGATAATTTCATTCTAATCATTTAATATTTTAAGATATTGACTATATATTGTATACAAAAGGATCTTTGGGAACACCCTGCTCCTTATGCTAGAAATATCTCAGAGACAAATATCACTTATCTGACCTGATATCTTAATCTTTCTTACCTGTGGTTTTAAAATCCTTCTAATGTGATCTTAAGAAAAGGATAAAGTTATAAGAAACCCATGTGCATAATTCTAATGGCATAAACTGAATGTAACGAACAGTTCTTTCCGGACCCTATGCGGACGGCACAATCCGAAGAAGTGGGAAACACTAGGAAAAGGTCATGCAGGGATACGGGGCCGAAAACAGGGGGGCGTGTCCAAAGTGCGCTGTTGCACGGGGAAGGTGTGGCCGAGGCAAACAATCCAGAAGTAAATCATAGAGGGAATCCAAAAACACAAAAATAAGTCCATAGCCAAGTGATCCATCCAAACTAGGAATTAAAACCATGAACCGGGTCGGAACCGGCGGACAAGGAACGGAAACAGAGGTTAAAACCTTAACGGGACCAGGCGCTTCCAGGTCCCGGACTCGCACGGTGCGGAAACCAAATGCAGAGCCAGGATGAGCGTCAGCGCCTGGCTTTTAAGGTGGGCTGGGAAAAGGGATCAGGTGCACAGAATTAAGTCTAAAGTGAAAGGGCTGGAGCACCCTTAAGGAGGGGGGACTATAATCATGACACTGAATTACCAAATGAGATCAACATATGGTTTCAAAGAAAATAAAAACCAGAAAGTTGAAGGTATCAGTTAACAGTTAAATTGTGCATGTTTGAAATAAAATTCTGTGAATCACTTACCTTGAGCTTGAGTCTTTTCACTGTACTCTTCAGGCACAGAACAAACCTTATGGACAAGAAATTCTTCCTCTGCTCTCTACTGATTTTATCAGTATGTAGCGGCGAAGCTTATTAATAAGAAAGAATTAAGTGTTCTGAGCCTTCCCAAATGAGGCCCCATCTCTCTGTTCATCTCTGTGGTGCAGCCACAGAGAAACTATTCATGCAGGCTGATTTAAGTTTCCTTTGATAAGGTTTCCTAGGACAGCTCCCAAAAGGGGATGCACTTAGCTAAGCCTGGCTATCATGATCAATGGTCATCCATTGGCGCCTATCTGTCTAGGGAGTGCCAGATGGACATCTGGACTGCATTCC